TTTCAACATACTCTCTCAATAACTGACAGAACAAGTAGGCCGTAAATGAGTAAGGGATGGGTGAACAGTACCAACTACCAACTTGACCTGACATTTGTAGGATGCTATCCCAACAACTCCAGAATACGTTTTATTTTCAATACACATGAATCGTTCACCAAGATAGACAATATGTGGGCCATAAGACAACTTTCAAAAGGATCAAGGCAACACTGAATATACACTCTTAAGTCAACAAAATTAAATTAGAAATCAATGATAAAAGATACTTGGAAAGTTCCAAGATTATTTAAAAATTAAACAACACATTTTTAAATAACCCATTGGTCAAAGAAATATCAAGAGAAATTAGATAACATTTTGAACTGAAAGAAATAATAAAAATTAGAAATCAATGATATAGAAAATGGACAAACAAGAGAGAAAATAATAAAATCATAAACTGGCTCTTTGAAAAGCACAACAAAATTAATAAATCTTTAGCTAGATAGATCATGAAAAAAAGTAAACACAAATTACCAATATCAGCAATGAAACAGGGGAGGATCACTGCATATGTCACAGATGTTAAAATATAATAAGAAAATACTATTTTAAAATTTTTTATGTCAATAGATTTGACAACTTAGATGGAATGGACTAATTCCTTGAAAGACAAATTACTTATATGTATTTTAAAAAATCAAAAAACATATTCCCAGAAAGCTCCGTGCCCAAATACCTTCAATAGTGAATTCCATCAAACATTTAAGAAAGAAATAATACCAATATTATACAAAATCTTCAAAAAAATAGAAGAAACATTTGCCAACTCATTTAATGAAGGTTGCCAGATACCAAACCAGACATAAAATGCCAACCTCCCTCATGAACNATAAGCCAAAGAAAGCCAGAGGTGCTATATTAATATCAGACAGAGTGGACTTCAGGACAAGGAAAGTTACCTTATAAAAGAGTCAAATCACCAAACTAATAACAGAGCTTCAAAATATATAAAGCAAAAACTAACATGCATAACTAAAAAGAGAAGTAGACAATCCACAATAAAAGTTTAAAATTTCAACATACTCTCTCAATAACTGACAGAACAAGTAGGCCGTAAATGAGTAAGGGATGGGTGAACAGTACCAACTACCAACTTGACCTGACATTTGTAGGATGCTATCCCAACAACTCCAGAATACGTTTTATTTTCAATACACATGAATCGTTCACCAAGATAGACAATATGTGGGCCATAAGACAACTTTCAAAAGGATCAAGACAACACTGAATATACACTCTTAAGTCAACAAAATTAAATTAGAAATCAATGATAAAAGATACTTGGAAAGTTCCAAGATTATTTAAAAATTAAACAACACATTTTTAAATAACCCATTGGTCAAAGAAATATCAAGAGAAATTAGATAACATTTTGAACTGAAAGAAATAATAAAAATTAGAAATCAATGATATAGAAAATGGACAAACAAGAGAGAAAATAATAAAATCATAAACTGGCTCTTTGAAAAGCACAACAAAATTAATAAATCTTTAGCTAGATAGATCATGAAAAAAAGTAAACACAAATTACCAATATCAGCAATGAAACAGGGGAGGATCACTGCATATGTCACAGATGTTAAAATATAATAAGAAAATACTATTTTAAAATTTTTTATGTCAATAGATTTGACAACTTAGATGGAATGGACTAATTCCTTGAAAGACAAATTACTTATATGTATTTTAAAAAATCAAAAAACATATTCCCAGAAAGCTCCGTGCCCAAATACCTTCAATAGTGAATTCCATCAAACATTTAAGAAAGAAATAATACCAATATTATACAAAATCTTCAAAAAAATAGAAGAAACATTTGCCAACTCATTTAATGAAGGTTGCCAGATACCAAACCAGACATAAAATGCCAACCTCCCTCATGAACAAAGACACAGAAATTCCTAACAAAATATCAGCAATTAGAGTTTAGCAGTATATAAAAAAAATAATACATTAGAACCAAGTAGGATTTACATCAGGAATGCAAGTTTAGTTTAACATTTAAAAAATTAATCGGTGTGATTCATCACATAAATAAAGAAAAAAATCATCTTCATAGATACATAAATGCATTTGACAAACTTAAGCACCCACTCATGATGAAAAACTTTCTGCAAACTATAGAAAACACCCTCATCAACCTAATAAAGGGCATCTATGAACAACCTCCAGTTAACATTGAATGTAACAGTGAAAGACTGTATGCTTTTCCCCCTATGACTGGAACCAGGCAAGGATGTCCACTCTAATCACTTCTGTTCAATGTTGTATAGAAGTCCTAGCTCAGTTCAGTTTAAGAAAAAAAAGAAATAAAAGACACATAGAGCCCTGGCCTGTGTGGCTCAGTTGGTTGGGCATTGTCCCATGCACTAAGAGGTCACCGGTTGGTTTGAGGCCTGGTCAGGGCACGTGCCCAGGTTTCGGGCTTGATCAACAGTAGGTGTCGTGCAGGAGGCAGCCAATCAATGTTTCGCTCTCTTTCCCTCTCCCTTCCTCTCTTTCTAAAATCAATTAAAAAATATTCTTCGCAAAAAAAAAAAAAAGAAAGAAACATAGATTATAAAGGAAGAAATACATATATTTATTCACAAATGAATTAATTGTATACCTAGAAAATCCTAACAAATCTACAAAAAAGAACTTCTAGAACTAATAAGGGAATCAAGCAAGGTCATATGATACAAGTTCAAAATTTAAAAGTCAACTGAATGTTCATAACTATCAACAAACAATTAGAAAATGAAATTCAAAAGTATCATTTACAAGAGCATAAAAAAGGAAAACACGTAGGGAAAACTATAAAACATTGCTGAGATAAACTAAGGAAAAGAAACATAAACAAAGATAAAAGTCCTGGATCTAACTTAGCTTTGTTAAGATGTCCACTGTCTCCAAATCGACCTGTAGGTTCAATGCAATACCAAAGTCCTAGTAGGCGTCTTTATAAAACTGGGGCAAACTGATTATAAAATTGACCTGGAAATGCAAAAAACCTATAGTAGCTAAAACAGTTCAGAAGATAAACAAAGTGGGAAGACCTGATCTCAAGACTGACTATGAAGCCATAGCTTTATCAGCTAAGAGTAAACACACAAATGAATGGAACAAAGCAGAGCCCAGAAACAGACCAGAACATATATGGCCTCTTGGTTTTCAGCAAAGATGTCGAGGTGATTCAACGGGGGAATGACAATCATTTCAACAACCGGTGCTGAACAACTGACTATCCATACAGAAAAAAGCAAACTTCAACCCCAATCTCATGCCATACACAAAAACTAACTTGAAATGGATCACAGACCTAAATGTAAAAGCTAAAACTAAAACTTCTAGGAAAAAAATCCAAAGTATAAAATCTTCATAACCTTTAATTTGGCAAAGATGTCTTGGATATCACACAAAAACACAAACTGTAAAAAAATAATAATAAAATAAATTAAACGCTATCAAAATTAATAAGTTTTGCTCTTCAAAAGATAGTTACAAATGAAAATTCAAGGTTAAAACTCTGCAAAGTCAAGTGGGAGAAAATAGTCACAATCCGTATACAAATACATCACAATACATACACAAAAGACTTGTACATAGAGAACACAAAGAACTTAAAACTTAAAAATAAAATGCTAACCAAAATGAGCGAAAATTTTGAATAAACACCAAAAAATATATTCAAAGAGCCAAAAAGCATATGAAAAGTTGCTCAACACCTAGACATCAAGGAGGTGCGATTAAAGCCATAAAGAGATACAACTACACATCTCCCAGCATGTCTAGAATCCAAGACTGACAATACTAAGTACTGGCAACGACGGGGAACAGACAGAACTCCCACCCTGCCAGCAGGAGTGCACAACCGCTTTGGAAAACAGTTTGGCAATTTCTTTTTCTTTTTTAAATATATCTTTATTGATTTCAGAGAGAGGAAGGGAGAGAGAGAGAGAGAGAAACATCAATGATGACAGTCACTGATCGGCTGCCTCCCGCACGCCCCCGACTGGGGATCGAGCCCGCAACCGGGCATGTGCCCTGACCGGGAATCGAACCCCAATCACCTGGATTCTAGGTTGATGCTCAACCGCTGAGCATAGGCTTTGAAATTAGCTCTAAGTCTAAATCTTATTTCTCAAGAAAGTCACTTAATTTCTCAAAGCCTCAGTTTCCTCAACCATAAAGTGGGGGTGATAATGCAACCAACTTTACTGTAAGGGTTAAAAGAAATGATGTTAAGCTTTGAGCACAATGCATGGAACACAGTAGGACCAATAAATGGTATTAACCTTATTACATAGCTACCTTCAGAGGTATGAGATGGGCCATGGAACTTGCTGACAGAGGCTTTGAAACAGCCCTAAATGAAGTCCTTAAAAGACTAAACCAAATGGCAATTCTAAAGTCAGCTTCCCTCCTGGGAATTTCACAATTGTTTCAAAATATTTCATGCTCAAACATATTGCTTCGATATGGAATGGGTGATTTAAAAACTGCTTCTTGGAACAAAGTGTAAGCAAGACACTTAAAAGGTTCCCCCCGCCCCTCAGTTTGTCAGAGCTACTCCCTGGCCTTGAAGCAGGGCCCGACCTCCCATATTTCATACCATGGGATGCTGGGGAGGCCACACCTCCAGATTCACCCAAACAGTCCCAGTTCTCCTGTGAGCTCAGCCACCTGCCCCAGCTCTGTCTCCCTGGTTCCCCATTGCTGCCTCCCAATGTCAGCATCAGGAATGTCTCCTCATGGCAAGACCCACTTCCTCAGTTTACCTACCTGTCACCCTACCTGTCCAACTCTGCAATCTGCAGGGATCGCTGCCAACACCTACTGTGTGCTGTTAGACACCCTCTGGGCCAGTCTCAGCTCCCTGGGGACCCCCAGCCCCAGCTCCCAGGACATAGGACCCAGGACACAGTCACAACCACAGTATGATTCAAGGGTCGTGGGGACGGAGTGCCGTCTACCTGGGCAGCAAAGAGCTGGAACTCGTCAGGCAGAATCCATGAGCGAGGGTAGAAGTTGTACTCCTCAGGAAAGAGATTCTGCATGATTCTCACTGCTCTGCTCAGAGTAATTTTACGCACCATCTCCGACATGCCTGGGGAGGAGAGAAGCTGTGAGGTTTTAACAGCAGTGGGCCACTAGCTATAAAACAGCCATTGTTTGGGACTTTTAAAACCACCCACCCGACATATTCAAGTTTTCAGTCAGGATAAAAAATGGTATGAGTTGTTCCCTGTGGCAGTGACTCATGGTTTGGAAAGACCTGCCAAATTAATGAAAAAATTGAGGCAACAGATGACTTTCTTTTCCTTATAAAAATGAAACATCAATTTGAAGGAATGAGTTTCCACCTAGATTATCCCATTCTTTGTCAGCCCCCTAGATAAAGAATAAAGAGAAGCAGTTGTATCTTGCACTTAAAACTTAATATCTTTTTTAATTTGGGGCCTCTGTATACATTTCTGGGATTCCTTCCTTCTTATACCCTAGAGAGTATTATCTAGTGGGCTCTGCTTACATCATGAGAAGCTTAGTTAAGTTGCTTTGTCTTTAATCTTTTATGAGTATTAAATGTATAAAATAAAAACTACATATACGTCTCAGCATAAAATTTGTCTGCCTGAAATAAGGGCAGGAACTGGAAAAGACATCATAGCATAATTTACAGTTGAAGGGGGAAAATGGAATCCGGAGGAGTCCTTCAGTTCTAAGTACTGATGCGGACACATTGACCAGATTGCATTAATTTCTCCGGAGGGGGCTGAAATGTCTCACTTAGAAAACATTTGAAAAGAATGGTAGCCTCTTTTTGGTCACATCTTTAGTAACGCTGACAAGAGAAGAAACCGTGTATTTATCTTAGCAAATTTTAAGCAGGTTATTTTACATTTTAGCATGCTTATTTTTTAAAGCAAGCACGGCCGCTAAGAGTGGAGACTAAAAATGGCCTTCACCCTGAAAGAACTACACGGTTCTATTGCTGGTGCTAGAAATTTGCTGAGCCAAGTTACTTTTAATAGAAAGTGCAAAGTTTCATGTCAGCTTGGCATGTCCGAGTTATCATGACTTCCAAAGGGGCACAAGCAGAATGAGCGAGGCTTCTCCAAACCCCCGGTTCGGGAAGCAAAGGGGAAACCCTTGAGAATGAAGGTTTTAATAGCCTACATCTTGCTTCCTCAGCATATTAAAAAGAGCATAAATCTAAAGATTGCAGCTTCAAGATGTCAATGCCCAGGTCCTGAGTTCTTGTTTAGAAGGATATCGAGAAGAATTAAATAAGAAATAAAGGGGCTTAGAAAGTATACAAATAAACTTTGCCCTAATATAGACTCTTCAATACTATTAAAAATAAACAAACTCACTGAGGACACTGTTCTGAGCTTCCCAAGAAATAAGTATGAGTTTGGACAATTATAGCTATGCCTCTTTATTCCCTATGAAATTAGAAATTTTGAGTTATAAGCACTGGAGCTGAACACAAAGTACCCAAAAACAAATTTTCAGCTTTCTTGGAAACTTTCCTCTTGTGTCTAACAAAGGTTTTAGTTAGAGTGTTAAACTAAAGCCTCAGAACTAACTGCGACACAGCACCTTACACCAAAGAGATGCTGCCCCTGACCAAGGGAGTATTGCGGTATTTTCTGTATTTTAATGGCGCTGTGACAGGGAAGGCTCAGAAATCTCCCTGTAGGTCAGAAGGACACACACAATACAGACAGAAGTGCTGTGGGAACAGGAGCGCCATTTGAACGCTCCAGAAAAGTTTTGTGAAAATCAAGGTGCAGCAAGTGAAGTAAATATTCCTTTTCAATCACCCCTCCTGCAATGTGGATCAGCGGCCCCCACACCAGCTAACAGGTCTGTTTCCGAGTTTCCTTTGTGCGGGTCTCCAGGTGGTCCTCGACTGAGAACAGCCAACTTCGAAGCACCCCTACCAACCAGTGGCTGCTTTCCCCGGACCCTCGGGCCTGCTCCCTGTAGCCAGCTCAGCCCTAACCCCACCCGACACCTGCCTCCAGCAGGCACCCGTGTAGACCTCCCTTCTCTAAGCAGCTGCAGCTCCTGACCCTACCTGTGACCCCTGCCCTACGCTCCGGGGCCCATTCTGCCCTGAGGTGGAAGCTCTAGGTCTAACCATCAGCTCTCCCCAAGACTTTGGCCCCAACTTTGTAGTCCAATTAAATAAGGAGATTTTAACTGCTTTTTGCTTTGCCCCCAAATTCTGGAAACCTGTCTTTTGCTGCTGGCACCTGAACAATGCCTTTGCCTTGTTTCCTCCAGTGTTCCCCTGTTCCCCCCAAGTCTGCCCTGCGAGGCTGGGTTCCTCCTGCCTGAGACTTCAGTGCCTACTAACAGGTTCTTTGGGGGCTGACTGCCTACCCGGGTTTCTCACCCAGGTCTATCCCTAGACGTCTCATATCAGCAGGTCCCTACCGATTGGGAAGAACCCCCTAAGTTAGGCTGGAGCTGCTCACACCAAGAGCCTGCTTCCTGCTACCGCTTCTGGGCCTGGCTTCTTCTGTCTACACCAAAGTCCCCAGCCCTGGTGGGTCTCATCCCATGTGGCGAGACCCAAGAGTATCACTGCTTGATCCTCAGGCTAGCCCAATTTTTAACAAATAATAATAAAAATAAAATAAAATCTGAGCTACGTTGGGAACATTATTCAATCCAAATGTCATTTGTAACAGGAACACATTACAGGCACCAAACAACAATAATCCATTCAGGTCCACTGTCCTCGGCCGTTCCCATCGCCCCTGACTGATCCGTCCCGGCTTTGCCCGGGGCTGCAGCAGCCTCCAGCTCTTTCTCCGGTCCCCTCTCAGCCTCCGCCCGCCTCCAATGCACCCCTCTGGCTGATCTTTCTAAAATCCGAGTTGGCCCATGTCACTTCCTGGCTTAAAATTCCTCAGCGGCTTCCCATGACCTTTTGTCCCTGCCTGTCACCACTCCACTGGCCCTAACACACTCGACCCTTTCTAAGCACCAGGGGCCACTTGCCCTTGGCTGAGCGAGCAGTGCGCTCTGCGCCTTCGGGCCAGCTCTACTCCTTTGCTTTGCATGAGGTTCAGGCCCATCCATCCCTTGAGGCTCAGCTCACATGTCAGTTCTCTTCCCCTGGATCTCTCACCCCACCTGTCCCCAAGCAAATCTAGGCGAGGTCACTTGCCCTCGCTTCAAACCCCCAGGGCATCCCAAGCTTCCTCTGGCAGCGCTTACTTGGTCTCACACGCCCCTCTCTACATGCCTCTCTCCCTGTCCTTGAATCCCCAGCCCAGCCCAGTGCTTGCCAGACAGCTGCTTGCACAGATTCCTCTCTGCAGCGTCTCCCTCTCTACAGAAAGCCCCTCCTCAGGGTGGGCTCTCGGGCACCACCCACCATGCGCTGGCAACTCTCAGACCCTGAGACTCACCAAAAGCCTGCTGTTTGTGAGCTAAGAATGGAGAATTCCGGGCTTTCTTAAAGCAGAGACACAGCTAAATCAGATTATTTTTATAGAAAGTCTAAATTCATCAGTTAAGATATAATAGCAGATCTTGAAGGAAATTGCCCATAGAAAAGTGGCTAAAATCTAATGTGCTAACACAGACAAAATAAATTACTCCCATATGCGTGTCCAAAAGTTTCCAGTTTTTTCAGCGTGGGAAGTGTTTATACTTGCCTGGCACGTCCTCTAGGACTTACTGTAAGTAACATACAACACATGCACAAAGCGTTTTTAAATAATGGGATGCATCGGAGACAGAAGATAAGCTTGGGCACAAACTGGAGCCAAGGGGCAGCGTGCTCCGAATCCACCCATTGCTGAGGACTGCGTCGTCCTCCGCTCGGAGCGGGTGGCCACACAGCCTCTGCCCCGAGGTGCGAGGGCCTGCTTTGTCGTCAGAGCAGATTAAATGCTGTCAGCAAAGTGGAAAATCACATTTTAACCCCTGGCACGTGGAATATGGGATGCGACCAATCTGCTTCTTTGAGATGAATGTTCTTCTTTCGCCTTTAATGAAGCTAGGCCTTTGGGGGAACATTCTCTGTGTTTCTAACTTGTGTTCTGAATGTAGAGTCACAGCTACTGCCTCTCGCCTTTCCCCGCCACCAGATGAGGCACGAGCACGTGTAAATGGAGCCTTAGCAACTCTGTCCCACTCAGAGGGTAGCTCTCTTTCAAATTACGCTCTCCTGATATCCCAGTAAGTCCTCTCGTGGCATCAGAAAGTCACTTTTTCTGAGCATTGAGACAGAGAAAATAACAGCTGTTCCGTTAGACTGTGTGCAAGACCCTGGCTGCAAGCATCGCTGCGGGTCTGTGGCAAAACCCTCTCTCCTTCTCCAAGGACAGATTTGACCTTGGNGGGACAGGTTTGACCTTGGGCTAAGTTTCTAGCTCTGGTCTCCTGGAAACCAAGAAAGGTAGAAAGTTACCTGTGTCACTAGACAACAAAGCATATGGTTAAAATGACCCCTGGTTGGCACATTATATAACTACCTGGTGGGAAGCCAGAGCTCCAGGTTTTCCTGAGTGTGGTGATGCTTGTCACTTAGCGTGACCCTGGAAGCCATGCTCCGGAGGAGCTATGAGAAATCCTGGCTCCTATAGGCTGTCTAAACTGTGACAGGCTGGCATCCACCAGTGTGGTTTTGTCTCCTTGCACCTGAGCTTTCACGGGAGGGGCCAGACACTAGCCCCTGGAACCCTTGCAAAGACAGCTGGAGAGAAATGCCTGGCACTGACCAGCTGGCAAGCTGTGTGTCCTGCCCTAGGTCCTCCTACGTGAACCTGAGCCGAGCCACATGTGGCCTGGGACAGTTTGCATGCTCAGTTGAAAACCTCCTAGCAGACAAGGTGGAAGTAGCCAGTGTGTAATATGGATACTGGGTTTTCTGAGAGGTGTTCTTACAGATGTGGCATAGACTGCCAAAGGAAAAAAAAATAAACTGATTCTCCCTTTTAAAATAAGCGTAAGTAATATAACACTAAGAAAAAACACCTTACATTCAGGCAACTACACTCTGACTGCAACTTCATAAAAATGATACATAAACATGGTTAAGATTTGGGAGGAAATACAGAAATATCCACATTGTGGTTTTGTAAAATGAGGGATGGGATTCAGGGCGATGATCTTTTTAAAAATTATTTTTTATTGCATTATAACATGCTTTGAGCAATATGTTAAAATTCCTGAAACTTAGTGCTCAGACCCAGCTTCCCCAATGTTCCTTTCCCCCAAGCACTTCCACTGGCTGTAACTACCCTCTTCACTTAGCCATTTAAAATAAAGAATAGTAATCACACCAGAGGAGGGTGATAGAGGTTAAAGATGAAATGAAAAGGCACAGGGGAGGCCGGGAGTGGAGGGAGGGGAATCTTCCAATGCTGGCTCCCCACTTTCCTGGCATGAGTCCCCCACAGGCAAGTCTCGCTGGGAGAATGGCCTTGGGTAAAGCAGAGGTTATCTGCCGCCTATTGTTCCCAGGCTGGTGCTTGGTTTTAAAAATGGTACCTCCAGATATGATACTTAAAGAAAATGAAAACTGCTAACCCCATTTCTGTCACATATTCCTAGAATTTTAGTACTTCTGTTTCCTGCAAATTACTTAAGTAAAATGGTCTCTTTTTTTCCGTTTTGAGAATATAGCTCCCCCATGACACCCCCACGTTATATCTATAACCAAGAAGGGGAAAATCATGTTCTCCCACCAGTGGAATCAGCCCAGGAGAGCCTGTCTTTTGATGCTTCTGAGCCTCCAATCTTTAACCCCCCGGTGGGTTAGGTCCAGACTCCTGTGCGTTAGGGTCCCTCCGAGGTGACAGCGCCGAGGCAGACTGCAGGCAGCAATTCCAATGACGAGAACTCGAGTTTGATCTCAAAGCACCTCCATGTTAGGGAGGACGAGTGTGCCCTGAGACCCAGCCCTGGGAACACCTGTAAATGCCAACAACAGCGGATACCTGGAAACTTGTTCACTTGACCGGAGAATATGTCGTTGTCGTGAAATGACACACCATGCCAGTAGATGTCACAGGGCACGCGGCGGCCAAAAGGGAACTAGAAGAAAGAGGGGGGGAAATGTGACTAATCACAGGAGCAAGAAGAGCAGTGGCCACACTGATGTCTACTGAGTAGAGACGCCCGCACCCTGGCCCACAGCGGTGATTCAGTCCTCGAAATAAGCACGCGCTGCAGCTGATATTCTTTCCCATTTTACTGGTGAAGAAGCAGGTTGAGGCTGGTTAAGTAGCACAGCAGCATTATTGACAGTAGCCAAAAGGTGGAAAGAGTCCAAGTTTCCATCGACTGTCCACCAATGGATAAACAAAATGCGGTGCCCACATACACTGTAATATTACTCGGTCTTAAGAAGGAATGAAATTTCGACACCTGCTACAATATGGGTGACCCCTGAGGACATTATACTAAGCGAAATAAAAATGACACAGAAGGACAAATATTGTATAGTTCCATTTATATATGAGGCAGCTGGAGTAGTGAGACTCCTAGGGACAGACAGTAAATGGTGGTTTCCAGGGGTTGGGAGGGAGCAATGGGGAATTATTTGTTTAATGGGGACAGAGTTTCAGTTTAGAAAGATGAAGAAACATTCTGGAGATGGATGGTGGTGATGGCAGCTCAACCACTTGAATGTACTTAATGCCACTGAATTGTACACTTAAAGACAGTTAAGATGGCATTAGCTGGTTTGCTCAGTGGTTAGAGCATCGGCCCAGGGACTAAAGGGTCTCCGGTTTGATTCAGGTCAAGGGCACGTACCTCGGTTGCAGGCTCGATCCCCGGCCCAGTCAGGGGCCCGTGCGGGAGGCAACCAATCGATTCCCTGTCTCTCTCACATCGATGTTTCTTTCTCTCTCTGTCTCTACCCCTCTCTTCCACTCTCTCTGAAAAATCAATGGAAAAAATATTCTCAGGTAAGGATTAACAAAAAAAAAGATGATTAAGATGGTAAGTTTTTTGGTATGTATATGTTACCACAATAAAAACAGCAGCAAAAACTGTCCGCTTCTGCCGCCTGATGCTAAGGGGCCATTTGAGGCTCTACTCTGAGCTCTCTGTAGGCTGGAATGCTGCATGGATTTTCACAGGGCAACTGAAAATTGTTAAATGCTTCCCAGACTCCCCATTCTCCATTTTTCTCAAGGTCAGCACCATCTCATGTACGTAGGGAGATTCAGAGACTCCCTGAAGCCTCTCACTGTTAAGAGACACCATCTTTGCCTGGCTGGCGTGGCTCAGTGGTTGAGCGTTGACCCATGAATCAAGAGGTCACCAGCTAGGTGCTGGGTCAGGGCACATGCCCTGGGTGCGGGCTCGATCCCCAGTAGAGGGTGTGGAGGAGGCAGCCAATCTATGTTTCTCTCTCATCATGTTTCTCTCTCCCTCTCCCTCTCCCTTCCTCTCTCTCTCAAATCAATAAAAACATTTTAAGAGAGAGACACCATCTTAGCAGCATCTCCAGTATGTTTCATGAATGAATATGTGAAGTTATAAATAGAAGCTACTCAAATACATCATCACCATCATCATCATCATCATTAAAGTTAACATTTAAGGAACGCTTATTACTATGTCTATATGTTAAACAACTTATCTCATGTAATCTTCACAACAACGTTGTGAGGAAGCTGCTATTATTAATCCTATTTACAGATGAAGAAACCAAAGCTTTGAAAGATTAAATAACCTCCCCAAGGTCACAGAGCTAGAAAGGGCAGATCCCCTGAGTCAGGATCAGATCCAGGTCCGCCTGATTCCAAGGCCCATGTGCTTAACCGCAGCACACAGCTAACTGACCTTGAACTGATTGCTCTAGTGGTATCTATCAGTCACACGTGACCTACAGTAACTAACCTACCCTCACGCTACAAGCTACCATCTTCTCCACGGGGAAATTTCCTCCCTCAGCGTATACACCTGAGGGGACTCAAAATCCCCTTCCCTCTTGCCCAGAAGGACGAAAATGCACTTGCAAAATAGCCAGGCTCAGACAAGAATTGAAATCATTGAATGCCCTTTGAGCATATTTGCGCTGAAGGAACTGATATTCGGGTCCCCCTTCTAATGGCCCAGAGAGCACGTCTGAACCCCCTCGAGGGCTTTTGCAAAGTGAGATTTCACCATGCATGCCGATGAAAGCACAATTCACATTCCTGTGCTTTGTGAATGATTTTCTCCTTGGAGCTTCTTCATGAACAGGAAATCTTTCAAGTGATCCGGCATAAAAGTGGCAAATAAGCTTTGATATGGGCAAGTACGTGTGTAATGCATCTACAGAGGGAACTGACCCAAATTGCTGCTGTAAAATGAGGGGCTGGAAGCATCAGGGGGAACACAGGAAAGCATAGTGCCCAGAGCACCACGCCTGGACTAGCTCAAGCCCTGACCCCCCGAGACCTTGACATGTGGACCCTACCCCTCTAAGCCTCAGCTGCTCGTCTACAACAGAGGAAAACAACAGCAATAACACCTGGCTGCCTCCCAGGGCTGTTGTACGGATTGAGATGATGTTTGGAAGAACATTTTATAAACAGTAAATTGCTGTTATACAGGACAGGTTATTATTTTTAATGTCCAAGGAAATCACCTCATGAGTAACTTCAATTTAAAAAGATGCCATGAAAATATCAAGCATCATTAGTACAGCTCTGGAAAAAGAACATCGCAGTGTACCTGCGCTCAGAGGACCTTCCATGGTGTCCCCAGGCAGAGTTAACAGGGTCCCCTCCAATGCCCCCTCTGGACGCTGTTGACGTCTGCTGTGCAGCCACGGCCTGTGGAGTGTTTCTGTCGCATGACTGACTCCCCACCCGACAGATGCACCCTCCCCCACCTACCCAGCTCCCGCGGTCCCTGCCTCCTGGGATTCAGACCTGTGTAGTCTTTGCCCGCATTGTCACAGGCTTGGTCTATGTGACCGACAGCTACAGCACAAGTGATATTCGGATAATAGGATACTTCCGATATTAGCACATCTTTATAAAAAGACTGAAGCCCCCCTCCTCTCGTTCATCATCATCATCACCATCATCATCATCATCACTCATTTTGGGGAAGCCTAGAGAAAAGAAAGAGACCAAGGCCTCCTGCCCACAGACATGTGGGTGAGCTCGGAACTGGGTCCCTCAGCCCCAGGCAAGCCTTCAAAGACTGGGACCCTGGCCCACAGCTCGACTGCAGCCTTGAGAGGCCCTGAGCCGCACCCCCAGATCAGCAGCGCTCAGACTCCTAACCCGTGGCACTAATTAATGTGTGTGGTTTCAAACTGCTGAGTTTGGGGGAAATCTGTCACCCAGCAGTAGATACTGAATACACCGCTGCGATTTTAGAACAGGGTCCTAGAGGAGAAAGCATCCTGAGAATGGAGGAATCTAAGACTAATATTACTATTTCCTGGGCACTCATTATGTGAAGGTATCTTACATATATGCCTCCATTTTGCACAGTGAAAAAATGCAATCCATTGCTAATAAGTGGCAAACCAGAACTTGAAGTCATGTCGGTCTGTCTCCAAAGACTGTGCCCTTTTGACTGTTCCAAGATAGATGGGTGGGCAGATGGACTAATCTGTGACCAAAAAGCCCAGAAAATATATCTACAAAAAAAAAAAAATGAGTTGTGGTTAACGCTTCAGGAAGAATGTGGCACAGAAAAGGCCAGAGAAGGCCAGTTAGGCAGAAAAAGGACCGCGCAAGTGCCCTTCAAGGGTGGACTAAAATGCAACACTTTTCTTCCATCAAGAGAGAGAGATGATGAAACTACTGGTGGAATCCACCGCCTGCTGAAGATTGTGGCCAGATGGGGCGTGGTTCTACCTGCCAAGTGTGAGCATATCCAAGGCAGGTGAGCGCCCTCCAAGCCTAGAGGGGGGCCGGCTCACTCTCTCCGTCGCTCGCCTCTCAGCAGTGGCATCGCTCTCTGCCCAGACAGGGGAGAAGAGCCGACCGCCCCCCTGAGGGGCCAGGCTCCCTCTGGCCTGTGGAAGGTGGGGCCGATGAGAAAAGGCCTCCCCGTGCTGGCGAGGGGCCGAGGGGCCGGCCAGCTTCCTGACCCCAGCGTCCTTGGATGGGGCTGGGGACAAGCCCACACATGGGGCAACTCCAAGCCTGTTTCCTCAGAGGGACAATAATGGCAGCGTGACTGGGTAATTAGATGGGTTAATAATGGGTTTGAACCACCTCGCACAGTGCCTGGCACGCAATGCCTGGTGTGCAGGAGGTGTCCGAAAATGCTGCTTTCCTGCCTCGTTTCCATTCCTTCCCATCACCCTTCACCCCATACCTACTGGCTGTTAAGATGTTACCCAAAGGAGCTGGTGGGCGGGGGGTTTTCCAAGACCAGCCTCGGGGGATTTGCAGCCATGCAGGTCTCCCGGGTGGGTGCCTAACCTGGGGGGAAGCTCCTTGACTTGAGTTCAAGAACCTGGATTCAGATCTCAGCCCCCACAACTACTAAGGCCCTTGGTTTCATCATCTGAGAAAGAAGACTAGCAAAGCCTCCCTCACAGGGGTGTTGTGAAGATTGGAAACAACTGTGCAAGTGAAAGGACATTTGTGGCCAACCTGGCATATTGCAGGAGCCCAATTAGTCCAATTAGAGAATATTGAGAGCGAGCCTCCCGATTGCTCCTCACCACGCTGAGTCCCCTGGTGAGAAAGGAGAGAGGCAGAGTCCCCAGACACCCCGGGGCAGAGAAAGCAGAGGCCGGCCCTCAGCAAATCCACTCTTGAAGAACAGCTGTGAATCACAGCCCCGGGGACTCTGGAGCCAGCCGGGGCAGAGGCAGATGCTGTGTGAGAGCCTGGGAGGAGCCAAGCTCCCACTCAAGGCGAGGGAGTTCAACCAAGGAGGCGTTTGCCGGCGGAGTGGAAGGAAAGGGCAATCAGGCTGCGGGAAGAGCCTCCAGGGCAGGGAGCCTAGGAGAGCGGGAGAGCGTCCCTGTGCCTGGAAGCGGTCAGATCATAAAGCTGGAGCGGTCAGATCATAAAAGACTCACAGGGCAAGCTGAGGAGCTGGAACTCCATTCTGCAGGTGGG